GATCTCAAGCTTCTTATGTGGCAGGCTGCAGGCCCCAGCTGTTTGCCTGGTACTGTGCTGGTGCCACCCTAAGGTCCAAAAGGGACTTTCCTGCTGCACCAGGGCTGAAGGGGTCTGGCAGTTCACCTGGTGCTGCACTGAGGCCTGAGGGGGTGGGAGTGGTGCCACACCTTGGTGTATGTGTGGGTGTGGGGTGACACTCTAGCCACTCACCCACTACTTCAACGGGGCTGTGGGGACTTGTTCACTGACCTGTACTGGGGCTCAGGGTCTCCCACTGGCTTGCTGAGGCAAGGCCTGCTGTTGGCTTGCCAGGATGCTTTCATCAAGACCTGGACTGTGCTCACCTCTTACCTGAATGAGACAGGCCTTTCCTGCTAATCCTTCTAGCTGTCTTAAGTTAGAAAATTGTTTCACCTTGTCTTTTTGTTGGTCCTGCCATTTCAAAATTTATTTTGGGGCTCTATTTTATGGTTGTGTGGAGGTGAATAGGGAGATTTCCTGCTTACTCCACCATCCTAACTCCCGGAAGTCTCTTGCATTTTTTAAATACAAGTGCTGCAACTTTCCTAGGACTTTTTACTAACGTCTGACAGTACTCCCCCTTGCAATTCCTTTACTCTCTGCCGATGTCCTTCAACGTTCATGTAGGCTAATCCTGGTGAGTTGTTTTACCAGGGTGTGGCCACTGCACATGCTGCAGTATTTTAGAGCCACAGGTGAGAGCTGGGTGAATCACGTGGACATCAAAGGAGGATGAGCAACCCTAAAAAGGGCTAAGTAAGCCTTCACACCAGAGAGGCTAGTCCTCTTGAATAACCCATACCCCTCAAGTGGAGGGTAACCAATAGGGTAACTGTCTACCTCAAGCATGTAAAGACTTCCCCTGTGGAACTAGGCAGATGAGAACAATCTGTTCCAACAGCCATGAAGGTGGCCAAAGCAGGTGCTGTGGAACTCTTTGAGCTTGGTCAGGCATTGAAGATACCAAGGCCATTCGCTGCATCCTGGGCCATTGCCAGTCATCTTGACTTTTGTATTGCCACTGGACTTTGATGACTCAGGAAGAGAAAATGAGGCTGATGACTTTATGCAACTCTGTTTCACTTAAATCTAAATCATGCTTAAGTCAAGACATCCCCTGTGATGTCACTGGTCCTCTTCCAAAATGAAGGGCAAAATATCAACAAGGCAAATCCCACTGGATCAGTAGGGACCTTTCCCCTGTTTCATTGTTAAGAATGTCTGTATGCAGCCAGAAGGGCAGCAGCAAGGTTCCGGACTCTTTTATTGAGTCATCCAATCCCCTGAAGCTCTCTTTCTTTCACATCACCCTACCCTACTTCAAGGTCATCTCATTTTGTTAATGGCACTAGGTGGTCTAAGCTAGGCCAGGCCAGTCCAATGGTTCAGGTTCAGAATTGGAACACAATGAAACATTCATGGACCTCATAACATTTAATAAAAATAAGTTTATTTGACAACAAGAAGGATATTCAACAGAGATACACCATAGATGCAAGTGGTTACACTTCTCCTCTGCCTTTGGATTTGTCACAGTGCTGGCACTCGGTCAGAAATATGTGTTGACTCAAATGAAGGTGGGGATTTCATCAAGCCCAAGGAACATAGACTCCTCCTTTGGCTGGGTCTTCTAATCTCTAGGTGACCAGGAAACCACACTAGTGCTTTGGGCTCTGATTCCCTGAACCAATCAGATTTCAAGGACAATTTTCCCTGCCCTTTTAAGGAGAGACTATTTCAGCCTACATGAGATAAATGATCCACTTACCACAATGGTTCCGTGTGTCAGCTTTCCAGAGCTGGGTTGACAGGCTGCCAATCTTTGCCTTTTAATCATAGGCAGCTTGGGACAGTACTACTCCTTGTAAGCATTGTAACTGGAATCAGAAATATACTTAACTAGCTGCATGATCCTGTGCACATAATTTAATTTCTCTGTGTCCCAGTTTCCTCATCTGTAAAAGCAAGAGATTGGATTCTGTGGTCTCTAAGGGCCTTTCCCTTGAAACCTAACTACACCCTCAGCTTCCTTTCACAAAATTTCTTGCAACCTTTTCAAAATAATAGTTAATAATAATAGCTAACATTTAAATGGCATTTACTATGTGCTAGGTATTGTGTTAAACACTTTATATATTATCTCAACTGGTCCTTGCAATAACCATGAGAGGTAGGTGCTGTTATGATCTCCATTTTACAGGTGAGGAAACTGAGGCAAACAGAGGTGAAATGACTTGAACAGGGACACCACCTAGCTAATAAATGTCTGAGGCCAGATTTTAGCTCAGGTCTTCCTGAGCGCTCTAACTATTGTGCCATGGAGCTGCCGCTTACACTTATATGTTTCACCTTGAACTCATACACAGCCTTTTGGGATATTTACTTCCATAAATAACAGCCCCTGTTGTGCCTGGATACATTCCCTTAAAATATGACACCTGCTTCATTTTGGCCCCACTTTGACCAGTGTTACACAGGTGTTCACCAATGCTGTGTTTAGTTCTTTTAGCTCCTGATTCTCTTTTATAGCCTGACCCATGGCTTTTAGGGATTCTGCTGGGCCCAAACCATTCCAAGATCTGTCCTTTCCCCAGATCCTTTGGCCATGCCCTGGATCACCCACTTCAAGCTTCTGAGAGGCAGTATGACTTAGCTGATAGGGAACTAGATGCAGAGTGGAGAAAGCCTTAGTTCAAATCTAGCCTCAGATAATGACCTGCTGCGCGACTACAGGAGAGTCATGTCACATAAACTTTCTGTGCCTCATCTATAAAATAAAAGGTTGGACTAAGTGACCTTTAAGGTCTTTTCAGAATCCATGATCCTGGGATTCTATGACTGTCACTATGCTCCTCAAAGATAACTATGGTCCTAGAACCAACAAGTTCAATGCAGAACTGGACAGTAAAATATTCATTTAATTGACAAACTATTTGTGAAGCCCCTACTATCTATAGCAGAGCAGCTAGGTGACACAGTGACTAGAGTGCCAGGCCTGAAGTCACAGGTTCAAATCTGGCCTCAGACACTAACTGTGTGACCCTGGGTAAGTCACTTAACCTTGTCTGCCTCAGTTTCCTCATCCATAAAATGAGCTGGAGATGGAAATGGCAAACTACTCCAGGCAAGAAAACCCCAAATAGGGTCATGGAGAGTCAGAAATGACTGAACAACAACAATCTATAGCATTATTCCAAGGGCTGTGGAGATGGGAAACAGAAGTAGAATTCTTGGTTCTGGTCCTCAGTATGCTCGGGTTCTGTGTGAGGAGACAGGACATACACATATAAGAAAGGTCTTTTTAAAGTTTTTAGTGATATCTTTTGTTTTTCTATCACCTGCTTTCCCCACATATGTCATAAGCCAACCCTTAAAACAAAGAATAAAAAAAGAACAACAAAAAAGTTTAGGAAAAAAACCCAAACATATCACCTAAGTCTGACATTGTTTCTGCAGAGAGGGTGGGGATGTTCATTCTCATAACTCTTTTCCGAGGGACAAGCTTTTTGATTATAATTCCCTAGTCTTCAGTTTTTATTTTGTTGCTTCTGTTCTGTTTGCATTGTTCTCTTACTTCTCTTTTCATTTCTTTGCCAGTTTTCCCCTGCTTCTCCAAACTCATCATATTCATCATTTTTTTACAGCACAGTGGTAGTCCATTGGATTCCCAAGTTGTTTAGCCATTACCTAGTTGATGGGCATTCACTCTGTTTCCAATGCTTTTAGCATAGACGCTTTCACGTGAATCTTTGCTGAGACATTATCTCTTCTCTTTTTGGAGAAGAGTAGTATGCTCATAATAATACATTAGGAAGATTGCTTGGGCAGCAACATGAAGGGTTCATCACACATATAAAGTTAACAGCTAACATAAAACAAAGATGCCGCAAGGCGGTAGTAACATCAATATTGTATTGTAAATTCGGGGAAGGTAGAGAATGCTATGAGCTAGAGTGATTCAAAAAAGGGGGGAGTGCTTTCTGGAAGAGGTGGGACTTTTATGTTGGGCCTTAAAGGATGACAGAAATTTGTTTAGGGGAAAGAAAAGGGGAAGAGGGGAAAGGAGGGAATTATAGGAAGGAAGAATGGGAAAAACACAAATGGGAGAGGGAATTGGGCAGTTGATCTGATTCGAAGGTGTTTGAAGAGAAGTCTAGTTGGAGCTAGAAAAGAAGGTTTCTAAATAATAGCTAATAGTAATAACTAACATTTAGATAGCACTTACTCCATGCCAGGCACTATGCTAAAGCTCTTTACAATTATCTCATTTGATCCTCAGAACAACCCTGGGAGGTAGGTGTTGCTATTATTCCCATTTTACAGATGAGGAAATTGAGGCAAGCAGAGGTTAAGTGACTTGCCCTAGGGTCACCCTCCTAGTAAAAGCATAGAATGCTGGGCTAAGAAGATAGGATTTTATTCTGTAAGCAATGAATTGCCAATGAAGGCTATTAAGCAGGAGAGTGATTTTGCCCTAGGAACATTAATCTGGCAATGGAGTGGGAGAGACAGAGGGTCAGTCTGTCCAGAGAGAGATAACAAGAGCATGAACTAGAGTGCTGGCAGTGAGAATGGAAAGTTGAGGGGTGGATTTAAGAGACCTCATTAAACCTGTATCAGGGGAAACTTCGATTAAGCCTGGGGGTGCATCACTGGAAAGGAGAATGGATCAGGAAGAGAAACTGAGAGTTTCATATCCAGGTTTCGTGGGGCCAAGGGAGCTATCAACTCCACTTTGATCTATTTGGGAAAGCTTCCTGGAAGAAGGGGGATTTCAGGAGCCATTGGAATATTGGTGACATTTGGTGCCTCCTGAGGTCAGACTGGGGTGCCCTCTAGTGGACATACATAGCATAATAATCTGTTTAGACTCTAGAGATTTTTTTTTTCTGAAGCATTATGGGTGGGATGATTTAATGACTCTACCCAGCTGTGTTGAATGAGTCCCCAGTCTTCTGGCCTGTGAAATGGGAACATTTTCTATTGCTGTTAGGAAACTGAATGAATGCATATTTTTATGGATCACCGAGCCAGGCAGAAGAAAAGAAGGATCATTTGAAGAGTTTCTGGGCCAAACCTGACTGCATTACTTCCGTTCTGTAGCAACCCTTCCTCATAGAATCGTAGCTTTGGGAAGGAACACTGGGCATCATATGGTTTGACTTCCTATTGAATACAAGTGTAACTGGGGTTCAAACAGGGCATGGAGAAAGTTGCCCTTCCTGAATCTAGTCGGCCACAGGTAAGGAAGCATTTGGGCTTCTCTACGAAGTCAAACTCCTTGTCTGCTTCCTGTCCAGCTATGGTTCAATGCATTGAATTTCACCCTCCCCCCAAATACTCTTCTTCCTAACTTTCCTTTCCAGACTGTCAATGGACTCTCTACTCCATGGTCAGCTGTCAAGGCTCGTGATTTCTGCCTTCACAATATCTCTAGTAACATTCACCTTTTCTCCAGTCACATGACCACCAACTTCATTGAAGTTCCGATCACATCTCACCTTGGCTTTTGCAACAGCTCCCAAATTGGCCTCCTTGTTCTCTCTTTCCTAAGAACATCACCCACACAGGTACCAACATTCTCTTCCTGAAGCACAGGTCTGGTTGAGCTTCTCCCAGAAGGAGAGGGAAAAGGAGAGAAAGAGAAGATGAGGGAGGAGTGAAGAAGAGGAAGAGGAGAGAGAGAGAGAGAGAGAGAGAGAAGGAGAAAGAGAGGGAGATGGAGAGGAGGAAGGAGAAGGAGAGGAGGAGGGAGTGAGTGGGAGGGACAGGGGGAAGAAGAGGGAGAGAAGAAAAGGGAGAGGGAGAGAAAGGAAAGGAGATGGGAAGAAGAATGAGAGATAGAGGGGGAGGGAGAAAATGAAGGGGGAGAGAAGAAGGGGGAGAGGAAGTGAACAAGAAGGAAAGAGAGAGAAGAAAAGGAAGAGGGGGAGAAGAAGAGGAAGAGGGGGATGGAGAGAAGGAGAGAAGAGAAAGGAAAAGGGGAGGGAGAAGAGAGGAATTGAAGAAGAGAGGGAAAAAAAGGGAAGGAGAAGGGAGGAAGAAGAAGAGAAGAAGAAAAAGAGGGAAAGGGAAAGACAGGGAGAGAGGAGGGAGAGGGGGAAGAGGAGAGAGAGAGAGGTGGGGGGAGGGAGAGGAAGAAGAAGATGGTTGCCTATTGTCTCTAAGGTAAAATACAAACTCCTCAGCCTGGCGTTTAATATCCTTCATAATCTTGTTCCGTCCTACCTTTCTGTACTTATTTCGTGTTGCTCTCCCTACTCACTCTTGCTTTCTATAGGGCTTGCTTACCAACTGTTCCCTAAACTGCACATTGTCTTGCCTGTCCATGTGCCATGTGCTCTTCTCCATGCATCCAAACCATTCCTTCTCTGTGTCCATCTCTGGGAATGCATAGCTTCCTTCGAGGCTCGGCTCAGATGCTATCTCATATAGAAAACCTTTCCCGACCCTCGGAGGGATGAACTATCCCTCTGAGTGAACTTATGCTCTCTTTATTTATCTGAGGACAATTTATATTTTATGGCTGGAAAACTTTCTCCCACTTTCCAAATTCTCGTAATTATTAGTTGAAAGCTTCCTAGGCGAAAACTCCGATTCCTTATCGCCATCTATATTACACTCCTTCCTGTCACTTTCCTTCCATGTCCAAATCAGAAGTCAGTAGCTTGCTCCCAAACCTACCTGTTGCCCTTACTTCCCTATTTCTGTCAAAGGTACAGCCACCCTGACAGTCATTCAGGTTCACAAACCCAGTGATCCTCCTTTACCCTTCACTCCCCTTCCCCACTCCCTCCCATACCCAATCAGTTCCTCAATCTCATCATTTCTACATAAACTCTCAATCTGTCCCCTTTTATCAGTGGCCACCATCTCCGCTCACCTGGATGATTACAATAACCTACTAATTGGTTTCCTTGCCTCAAGTCTCTCCCCTCCTCAATCCATCTTCCACACACCTGCCAAACTTATGTTCCTAAAGGACAGGTGTGACTAGGTCACTCTTCAGCTGCAGAAACTCCAAGGATCCCCTTGTGCCTCTGGGAGGAAATGGGGACTCTATTGTTATTTAAATCCCTTCACAATCTGTCTCAGACTCCTTTCCAGACTTCACATCATTCCCCCTCCTGCACTCTGTGGTCCACCCTAGGGCTTGTCCATCTAAACTGGCCATCTTTCTATTCCTGTGCATGACATTCAGTCTTCTGTTTCTATGCCTTTTACATAGGTTGTTTTTGATGCTTGAGATGCACTCTCCCTTCATCTCTGCCACTTAGAATCCCTAGCTTCCTGCAAAGCTAATCTTGAACATTACCCCATATCTGAGGCTTTTCCTGAGCCCTCTTCCTGTTGCTAGTGCCGCCCCCAATTACCTTGTATTTATACATATGTATCATGGCATCTATTTATATGTTTGTAACTGACATTTGGCCATGTCCATGGGTTGCAATGATTCAAGATACTTGGGAGCAGGAACCCATGCTGCTCACCAGAGTGGGGTAAACCCGGACTCCCCTCAAAAATCTTTGGTAAAGGGGCTTATGGATAGCAGAACCTGGAAGGTAAGTAAGAAAAAGATACCAAGTAAGCAGGAGGGGTAGGAGGCAATTGTGAGTTGATAACTCTGAGGTATGCTATTTGTGGCATCAGAAATCTAGCTATAGAAGAACCCAGTCCTTGAGAAGGAATTGTTTCTCCCTTTTTGGGGTGAAGAGAAGGGATTTCTTTTCTCCCTCCATCTACCATGGTGTCTTGGAGCGGAGCTACTCATCCAGTAGTCAACAATGACCAACAAGGGGTAGGAATACGAGCCAGTCAAGGCACAAAACTTGAGAGTTTCATGAGGAGAGAGAGACACAGAGAGAGAGAGAGAGAGACAGATACAGAGAGACAGAGAGAGAGAGAGAGAGAGAGAGAGAGAGAGAGAGAGAGAGAGAGAGAGAGGGAGGGAGGGAGGGAGGAGAGAGAGAGAGAGAGAGAGGAGAGAGAGAGAGAGAGAGAGAGAGAGAGAGGGAGAGAGAAGGAGGGAGGGAGGCAGAGGGAGGAGGGAGGGAGGAGAGAGAGAGAGAGACAGAGAGAGAGAGAGAGGGAGAGAGAAGGAGGATGAGGGGAGAGAGGGGGAGGGAGGGAGGAGGGGAGAGAGAGAGAGAGAGAGAGAGAGAGAGAGAGAGAGGGAGAGGGAGAGGGAGAGAGAGAGGGAGAGGGAGAGAGAGAGAGAGAGAGGGAGAGGGAGGGAGGAGGGAGAGAGAGAGAGAGAGAGAGAGAGAGAGAGAGAGAGAGAGAGGAGGGAGAGAGAAGGAGGGAGGGAGGGAGAGGGAGGGAGGGAGGGAGAGAGAGACAGAGAGACAGAGAGAGAGAGAGAGAGGGAGGGAGGGAGAGAGAGAGAGAGAGAGAGAGAGAGAGAGAGAGAGAGAGAGAGAGAGAGAGAGAGAAGGAGGGAGGGAGGGAGGGAGAGAAAGAGGAGGAGTAGGAAGAGAGAGAGAAGAAGAAGGAGGAGGAGGAGGAGGAGAAGAGGAGAAGAGACAGACAGACAGACAGAGACAGAGAGAGAAACACAAAGACAGAGAAACAGAGACAGAGACACAGAGAGATACATAGAGAGACAGAGAGAACACGCATGAGAACTCCTTGGCTGTTGGGAAGTAAGCTATTGAAAAGAACAAGCCCAGAGAGTACAGCTGAGTGAATTGCCCAGCAACACAGTGAGCCCAGGAAAAGCAACATCAGGACATCATCATAAGAAAAGAAAGGACATTGGCATCTAGTAGTGCCAGAGGTGTGAATTGCCTTGGCCTTACACGTTCCCTAAATGTGCGTCTGCTCTTACAACAGGAGCTGTATGTAGTTATGTAAGAGTGTGGCCCAAGTTTAGGTATGTGTGGGGAGGTAGTGGTGGAATGTTTTGTTACTAAATGTTCTTACAATGTTATCTTAGTACATTCTTTTGCTTTAAGTTAATTGTGTTTAATGGCTGACAATTATAGGCAAATACACTAGTGGGGGCTTGTGAGCTATAGTTCTAGGAATATATACCCACTGCATTAGTTACAAGCAGTTATGACATATAGAAAACACTTGGCTGATCTCTCTACTCACATAATACTCACCTTAATATAGATTTTCATCATATTTTGCTTGGATTAGCCTCCTAATAAGTCTCTTCACAATTCATCTACATAGCTAGGAAAGTGATTTTCCTAAAGTGAAGGTCTGACCTCTGCTTAATCAACTACCATGACTCCCTACAGCCTCTAGGTTCAAACATTAGCTTCTTTGTTTAATTTTTTAAATCTCTTTACCACCTACCCTCAACTTACCTTTCCAGTCTTATTCCATTACTGCTTTCCCATACCCAGTCAAATTAAGCTTCTTGTTCTTACCCCTAATATTTTATGTTGCACCCTAGGTCTTTGCATTGGCTGTTTCCTCACCTCTGACTGTTCTAATCTGGTTTCCTCCAAAATTCTGCGCATGATACCTTGTACATGAAGCCTTTCCTGATCCCCTTACCTGCTGGTACTCCCCCCCAATTTACTCTGTATTAATTTTGTATATTCTCTGCATATGATTACATATGTTTATGGCTCTCCCACTAGAACATAAGCTCCTTGAGTTCAGGGACTATTTCATTGTTGCTTTTATATTACTAGCACTTGGCACAATACCTGGTGTTATTATTGAGTAGTTTGAGTCATGCCTGACTCTTTGTGACCCCATTTGGGGTTTTCTTGGCAAAGAAATTAGATTGGTTTGCACTTCCTTCTGCTGCTTATTTTACAGATGAGGAAACTGAGGCAAACAGGATTAATTGACTTACCTAGAGTCACACAGCTAGTAGGCTGAATTTGAACTCAAGTCTTCATGACTCCAAGCCTAGTGCTCTATCCACTGTGCCACCTAGCTGCCCTGTTTGGTATATAAGTCCTTAATAAATACTAGTTGATTGATTGAATCTTAAAGTACAATATGCATGTCAGATATTGTTATTACTATGTGTCCAAACACTATGTGGGATACAAAAGAAACAGGGTGTTTTGTTTTTTTCTCCTGAGGTTTTTGATTTGGAAAGGTTTTAGGGAAATAACTGTTCCAGTTATGGCTGCATAGAGCTTGTTGCAACTGAGGAACGCAAAAGTTGATATGTGTAGCTTACAATTTATATCACTGAACTACTTTAAAACATTTTACATATGTAATATTGTTTGATCTTTATAATAGTTCTTGAGATTAGTAGGACAAATG